TAAATCACCCAATCTCAGGTATTTCTTTATAGCAGTGTGAGAATGGACTAATACAACTTCTAACTTATAGAATAATGCTGACATAACAGTTTGTGACGTTGGGTGTAGAACATAAAACTCACTGCAGCTTCCACCTTCTCTCTCTCTGTCTCTGGGATCATGAGCTCTGGGGGAAGCCAGCTGCTGTGCCATAAGCAGCCCTGCAGGAAGGTCCATGTGACTGAAAATTGAGGCCTTCTGGGACTAGATAACAAGGAACTAGGCCTTTTCCAACAGCCATGTGACTGATCCATCTTTCTTGTGAATCCTCAACCCCAGTGAAGCCCTCAGATGATGCAGCCCTTGACTGACAACTGGACTGCAACCTTGTGAGAAGTCCTGAGCCAGAAGCACCCAGGGAAACCTCTCCTGGATCCCTAACCATTGGAAACTGTGGAAGATGATGAATATTTATTGTTTTGAGCTTAGTGTTATATAATTTGTTATGCAATCATAAGTAAACAATACATTTTCACAAGACAGGATGTATTATTACACGTTAAATTGCATTTGCTCCAAATGTATCATCATCATCATTATTATTTTTGAGACAAGGTCACACTCTGTAACCCAGGTGGAGTGTGGTGGCATGATCACCATGCACTGCAGTGTCGACCTCCTGGGGTCAAGGAACCCTGTGATCTCAGCCTCCTGAGTAGCTGGGACTACAAGCATGAACTGCCATGCCTGACTAATTTTCTAACTTTTTTGTAGAGCTGAGGGTTTCGCCCAGGCTGATCTTGAACTTCTGGAGTCAACAAATCTGCCTTCCCCTGCCTTCCACAGTGCTAGGATAGCAGGCATGAGCCACCACATCCAGCCTAAAGTAATTATAAGACATTAAACATGTAACTTAGTTTTAAAAGGTAAGGAGAATTTCCATGGCCGAAGAGGATGTAGTTTAATATCGTTCACAATGATCACTTTACTTGAACTTCAATTTCCAACTGTGTCGCAATTAAACACAAAAGGAAGATCCAACCCTTGCTAGGCTGATTCTATGACGGCCCCAACAGCCAGCTCCTGGTCATTCACCTTCCCCCAGTGATTCAACCAACTCTAATGTAGATGCTGCTGTGAAGGGATTTAGCAGATATAATTAAGGGGTTCAATTAGTTGACTTTAGGCTGGGTTTCTCCTGCTTGGACTGTTCTAATCAGGTGAGCCCTTGAAAGGATTGGGTTCTTCCTGAGCATAGAGAAATGCAGTGTGAGACGGATTCAGCATGAGGGGTTTCCTCCACCGTGGGCTTTGAAAATGAAGGGGCTATGGGCCAGGTGCGGTGGTTCACGCCTGTAATCCCAGCACTTTGGGAGGCTGAGGCAGGCGGATCAAGAGGTCAGGAGATCAAGGCCATCCTGGCTAACACGGTGAAACTCT